TTTCTCTCTGCTGCTGTTTGTTTTTTGTTTTGTCATGGCCGGAACTCAATCTCTCCATACTGTAGGAGATCCAGCAGGAGACGGACATCCCAGAGAGGGAGCTGGTGAGAGCGCTGCAGTCTCTGGCCTGTGGGAAGCCAACTCAAAGGGTACTCACCAAGGAACCCAAGTCCAAGGAGATTGAGAATGGCCATGTGTTTACAGTCAATGACCAGTTTACATCCAAACTTCACCGTGTCAAGATTCAGACAGGTAGACTAAATCAGGTTTATCTGACGTTTTCTGATGAGAAACGGAGTAACTTGAAATAATTTTGCAATACTGATGCATTGGTTTTATATGTTGTATGTTAAATGTAGTCTGTTGCTCCTGTTTGGGATATGCATAGCAAAGACTTTAATCGCCTAGAGGAAAACTGTAGCACTGAAGTGCAGAGGCTTTGGGTTTTCCAATATTGTAATGTCACATTACCAGGTACTACAGTAAATTTAACCTAACATTTGAAACTCTTGATTTACCTTATCATAAATTATTCAGAGCAGCAAAAACATGACAAAGAGTGTTCTTTAAGTGTAAATCATTCTAGTGTTTTGATTGTATTTTCGTTTCGGATGCTCCTCTCAGTGGCTGCAAAACAAGGCGAGTCAGACCCAGAGAGGAAGGAGACACGACAGAAAGTGGATGACGACAGGAAGCATGAAATCGAAGCTGCCATCGTTCGCATCATGAAGTCAAGAAAGAAGATGCAGCACAATGTCCTAGTAGCAGAGGTCAGTCAGCTGAAATATTGCTATGTTACATAGCCCAGACTGCACAAATAAAACCAATGGTTGTAATATATTATATAATATTCTTTTTGGTTCCACCCACATTTTTCACAGTGAACAATAATAGGGTTTCCCCGACATGCACCCCAGTGTTGCATTGTGAAGTATAAAAAGTGAGCCATTCTGGTTCACAGCAAAGAGCAAGAGAAGGGCTGAAGCTGCAATGCAAAGGAGTCTTGTATAACAAATTTTCCCAAAACAAACCACTAAAAAGTCTTGACACATTTTTCTTTTGACCACAACCTGTCCACAGTATTGAACAGTCCCATGTGGAACATGAACGGACAGTGAAAGCAGAGGCTATGAAACAAAGTGGGGATAACTGGGGGTAAAATGAGAATGTTGATGGGATAAAAATAAAGATATACTGAGTTGGTAGGAGTGCCAACAAAGTTAAAAGCTAATTCCCTTCCTGGTCCCTAAAAATCTGAATACTGAATTACAGTTAAAGTGAAATGATTTAGTACTAATCCACAAAATGGTGACAACATACTGAGGCAATGTAACCACAGGTGAACAGCCAACAACAGGCTGCATCTCCTCCAAAGATGCTGACTCCCTAGGTGAAACAAACAAAAAGAGATTTACTAAACTGAACTCCCCAGAGTGACGATGAACAGAAGAAACTATCTAAAACTACATGGACACAAGAACCAACATTCTGACATGTAAAACACTCAGTCATTACAAAAAGGTTTAGAGGAGGACAGACACATGCTACTGTAGCAGCAGAAAGTTCTGGCACAACTTCACCCACTGCCAAGGTGCACAGACAAAGAAAAAACAAACTGGAAAATAAAAAAGACCAGCAACACTTGCAGTGTTTTCAGCAACTTCAATAAGAAGACCAATGCGTTTCAGCATGAAGTCTTTGACAGGGTCTGCTACTGTAGGAAAACTTTAAAAGGCAGGAGGTGATGAATGAACCAGTCCATTGCAGACACTCTCCAGACTGAGCTCATGAATCAAACCAGTCAGAAAAAGATACCTGCTTTGTTTCACATTCAGAGACCCTCACAGGAACTCCCAACAGTTTCTCTCTCTCTCACACACACACACACACTCACACACACACGGCTATAACACTGATTACTGTGTTTCATGTCTCTGCAGGTCACGCAGCAGCTGCGAGCACGATTCCTCCCTAGTCCTGTAGTCATCAAGAAGCGCATTGAAGGACTCATTGAGAGGGAATATTTGGCACGAACACCGGAGGACCGTAAAGTGTACACTTACGTAGCATAAATGAATTGAGTGACAGCTAACATCGAGTTGAGAGAAACTGAGAGCCTTTTTTGTGGACTGATATCTGTTTGAATGAACTTGAAAGTGCTTTCATCGTTGATTCTGGGAAACACTGGGAAGCTTAACTCTTCTTCCATAAAAATGTGTAAAAACAAAGTCAAGGAAAAGATGGGGAAGTTTTCTAAGCAATATTAGAATTCTCCTGCTGAGTGAAATGAAAGGAGGGGATCTAGTTTTGTATCATCAGATCATGTTTGCAGAAAGAAATGGCCTTTGGAGAGTACTGGGTGAGCCTGTCTGCTAGTTAACTACACACAGCCGAGAACGAGCATAAACGTTAAAGCAAACGTGGCTACACAGAGACCAAAAAACATTTGAATTCACTCCCCGGTTTTAAGTGTTGACATTAGTGTTGTTATGTTCGTGTTTTGTGGCACAATTATGACTGTACAGGTTGACAGGCATGCTTTGCCTTTTGCTCCCAGAGGATTTTAAATTTAAATAAGAGATAAGGGGACAGAGTGTTAACTGGTACAGACCTGGTTTACATCACCAGTAAAACACATTTTGAGTACTTGCGAAAACATGAAGAGTCCCCCCCCCCCCAAAGGGTTAATGCCCGATATGAATTTCATTTAATGCCATTTTCAATATTCTGGCCGGGTCTGTACTAGTGGTCAGCGAGATCAAGAGCTTGCAGCTTCAGAGCATGCTTTTATCTAATGGCTCAATCTGGCGGAATAAGATGCACATAAAAGATCCATAAATAATGTTTGGTCTCTCATGACAATTTTTTTACTGCAGGCCAGAGTATGATCGGCAAAAAAAAAAATTTCCTCCCAACAAATGGACCGTTCCTTGTGGTGCAGGTTTCAAGGAAGATTTTTCTTTTTCATTCTCGACTGCATTTTGGACAGGTGGAACCAAATTAGCACCATGTTCTAATGTGTACAAATTGTAAAATAATTATTGTACTCACTGCGAAGGTGGATTGTACAGGGCTTTGTTTTCATCATATTAAATGTAGATTTAAAAAATGAAGGCATGGGTTTTTGTTCTTTACTTTTTTTTTTAATGAGGCCTTAGTGTTCGGTTCTTGAATTACACTAACATCTGGAAACATGGAGATGCTCTAAAACATTTGGCCAGTAATATGTGTGACTTTGTTCT